AACATTTTATAAGATACAAAAATTGTTTAAAAATAATGTACCTTTCGAATAAAAAAGAATTACACCCCTTGGATTATCTATAACAAAAATATGGCTTACAATGTGTCAAGTTGTTAAAAAGTACGTACTTTATAACAAAAATAAAATAAAAGAAATAGCACCAAAACATATCAAATTGCCTGTACCAATTTCTTAAAAAACGATTACTCCATTAAAAAGTTTTTAAAGAAAAACAAAAATAATTTTTAAACTTTGGCGCCCTCTAACTTTTAAACGGTGCAACTTTGTAGAGATAAATTGGTTAAATCGCTTTATTTTGACCTAGGGAATCAAGTTACTTTTTGTCCCCATTTTTTCATTACACCCTGTATAATGAAAAACAGGGATGTACAAAATTAAGCACTTCGTGGCAAAAGAAAATTATCTCAAAACAAAATAGGTACACTTGGTTGCAAAAAAATCGGAAAATGTGGAAACATAAAAATGTCAGATTTTTATATTTATCCATAGTTTGAACATGGCTTAATTTTAAAAGGTCAAGTTAAACCTGACAGTTAATCCGTAGTACTCACTACTCATTGATTTTTATGTAAGTCTAGTTGGAGACAAAATACTTTGGTCGTCAATGTCACTTGAGTGATATTAAATTGTAAAGCATGCTTTAGGACTGTTAACCTTATTTTTAGCTACTGTCAATCCTAGTTGACAAGTTGTATGTACATATTTTTGTTAGGAAAATATAATAGCTGTCATTAATTTGAAATTGTCATTCATTTTAACGTTAAAGCTTGAATTACATTAAAGTGTCAAAAAAGTGACGACCAAAGTATTTTGTCTCCAACTGTATATTATACTATATATTATTATTATACTATTTTATTACTATATTATATTCAACTAATTGATTATCTTGATTTGCATTTAATGCTCTCTTTACGTGCGGCATTGCATAAAAAATTATTTGAATGTGACAGATGACAAATTGACAAAGGCAAAACCTGTTTCATTCTAAAGAAAATTCAATTTTCCATTCTTATTGCAACCAACTGTACTCTATGGACGTGGTAATAATACATGTACAGTTGGAGACAAAATACTTTGGTCGTCACTTTTCTGACACTTTAATGTAATTCAAGCTTTAACGTTAAAATGAATGACAATTTCAAATTAATGACAGCTATTATATTTTCCTATCAAAAATATGTACAGTTACGGAATTAAAATTTCGGGCAGTATTTTTCTATCACTTTAAAAAATTCATTGTAAAACTACCCTTTACTGTCATCATGACTGAGATTTGACAATTAAACTTTTTTTTGTTGTTAAAATTGTTAATTAAACAATTTGTCTGTCTTAGGAAATTTATTAATTGAACTAAGTGTAATTAAACCATCGCTTTGATCTGCCGCCTACCCGTTATTATGCCACTAATCACTATTTTTGAAAGTAAATAAGTCAAAATGACAAACATGACAAGAGTAAAAAATAAGGTTATTAATGTAAAGGTTGTTTTAGAGTTTACATTATAAAAATGACAATACTGCCTGAAACTTTAATTCCGCAACTGTACATACAACTTGTCAACTATGATTGACCGTAGCTAAAAATAAGGTTAACAGTTTTAAAGCATGCTTTACAATTTAATGTCACTCAAGTGACATTAACGACCAAAGTATTTTGTCTCCAACTGTATTTAAAACATTAATATCAACAAATTATTTATAAATACATTGTTTAAACGAAAAAATTATTAATTACGCAGGTGTTTAAAATTCTCAAAAATTCAAATGAAATCTCTCATAATTTTACTGTGTCACAAGTTTCAAGAGGGACGTTTTAAAAATAGCTGAATTTTTTTTATTTCCGGGCGTTGCATAGTGCATGCAACCCTGGAATCGTCTGAAAATAGTGTTTTCATGAAAATTATATATAAAAATTACCAATTACCGTCATTGATAAATTGTTCTAAATAAAACACCTAATTTTCAATAACTTGACATTTATTTTTAAAACATAAAAAATCACGGTGAATCTGAAATTTACGAAAATCGGAAACAATGAGATTAAAAGTGATCTTTTTGGCATGGAATTCCTCTTATTTTTTCTAGAGCACTCGTGAGTCGATTTTGCGGCACAACGCCGAACTGGGCGAGAACCTCCAGCGACAAAACGAAATCGCGCTCATAATCGACGGGAAGACCCTGAAATACGCCCTCAGTTGCGAGCTACGCACCGACTTCCTCCAGCTCTGCATCTCATGCAAAGTGGTGATTTGTTGTCGAGTGTCTCCGATGCAAAAAGCGGAAGTCGTTGAATACGTTACTAAATTCACGAAAACGGTTACTCTCGCTATCGGCGATGGGGCGAACGACGTGGCCATGATCCAGAAAGCACACGTGGGGGTGGGCATATCGGGGGCGGAGGGGCTCCAAGCCGCTTGCGCCTCCGATTACAGTATAGCACAATTTCGGTTTTTGTTACGTTTGTTATTAGTGCACGGCGCGTGGAATTACTCGCGAATGTGCAAGTTGATTTTGTACAGTTTCTATAAAAATATTTGTTTATATGTGATCGAGTTATGGTTTGCGATTTATTCCGGCTGGTCTGGGCAGATTTTGTTCGAACGGTGGTCAATCGGGTTGTATAATGTTCTGTTTACGGCTTTGCCCCCGTTGGCGATGGGGCTGTTTGATAAGGCGTGTAGCGATGAAGTTATGATGACGCATCCGAAATTGTACAAACCGTCGCAGAATGGCCAACTTTTCAACGTTAAAGTTTTCTGGTTGTGGGTGGTTAATGGGATGATACATTCAGCGATCTTGTTTTGGTTACCGTTATTGGTTTGCAACCATGATATTTTATGGATGTCGGGGCAAGATGGGGGCTATCTAGTCGTGGGCAACATTGTTTACACTGTAAGTCACTTCGAGCTAGCTTGACAACAGTTAATTGGTTTTTGTAGTATGTGGTTATAACCGTGTGTTTGAAAGCCGGTTTGGTTACGAATTCGTGGACTTGGTTGACACATTGCGCCATCTGGGGGTCGATCCTACTCTGGTTTCTTTTTGTCGTAATATATAGTTTGTTTTGGCCGACTATACCATTTGGGAGTGTTATGGCAGGGATGTACTTAATGTTATTCAGCACTGCCGTATTTTGGTTAGGGATGTTCCTCATACCGATAATTGCCATCATTCCGGACTTTCTTGTAAAAGTGTAAGTACGAAAATTGTGATATTTGTGGTGTTAGATGACCCTTTGTAGTTGCCCTTACTCCGTTTTCAAGTCCAAGAAGTGGTGTCCTTGTCCCATGTAAACCTGTCCCAATTTGTCATCTCCCGAGCTACATAATAATTTTTTCCAGTGTCCAAGGAACAATTTTCAAGTCACTAACCGACGCAGTTCGGGAAGGCGAAATCCGGAAAACCGGAACTGACGTATACCGGGGCGAGCCAAAAAATTCGTAAGTATCTAGAGGGCTTTACTCTGCACGTGTTGCCATCTTCTCGCGGGTTTGTTTCCTTTTGTTGTTCTTTTGTGCACGCTAAGCACTTGGGTTTTTTTTTTGAACAATTACAACTGTTTTGTGGTGTGATCTAATTGGGTAATTAGTTAGAAATAGTTTTCTTTTTATGGCAGAACGGTTACTGGTGTCAGATGGAAACCGAACTCTGTGACTCCGGGTGAACCCCTTCAAGCATAATTCATGCATGGATCATCTAACTTCATCCAAGAATTAACTAGTTTGGAATTGTTCAAAAAAAGAGACGTACATAAAGCGCACAATGGATTTTATTTTTGATACTAGACATTTTTGTTGTAAAAACTTGAAATAAATGTGTTATTAATTTGTTGTGTTTTTATGCGCCATTGATTAATTGGTTGTCTGTTGCAAGAACAATGCATGCACTGGAGCAAATCGCGATATGTAAGTACCTCGCATGTGTGTTAGATCGTTGAGCACGTAACCGCACTCGCTTCCACTAACATTAGCATGCAGTCGCTGTAAGTAGGCCAGAAGCGTTAGTTGAAATGGTTCCAGACTTTCCGAGACTGCCCGTTTGCTGAAGAACGTGTTTTCGAGACGCACCCCCAGGATCGACCTCGAAGTCGAGCTGTCACGTGAGTATCACCTTCACGCGGCTTCTAACTCACTCGCATTAATCTACCCCCGCACTAGCTTCGCCCCAAACCTAATCTCTGTTTTCACTAGATGGATTTGCGTTTTCGCAAGAAGAAGGCGGCGCCGTGTCCCAAACGGCCGTCATCAGAGCCTACGACACCAACATCCCCAAACCCGACGGGATGTAGGAGCCAAAATGTGTGCTTTTCTAGCTTGTAAGTCTTGTCTCGTTTCAAATGGGATTTAGCTTTCTGTGTCGTGCCAAACGAGCCGATTTTTGTGGGGTAATCAAAACTGTGTCAAATTATTACAATCACTGTCTAGACGAGTTTAGTTGAGATAAGTCACTCTATCACGTGCCTTTCTTCACTGGAGAGACTTAACTTAGAAATAGGACAGAATCAAATATTTTCGGCGGTTTTTTTCTACTACCAACTAGTCTCGAAGGTTTGTATTTGGGTTTTCATTAAGTGGTTTTTTCTTTCTTGGCCTAATTGGGCCTCAAACCAGCAGTGATCTCTCCAGTCTGACTCACAGGAAGTCCCAAGTGAGAGTTTTTTGGTAATTGACCCAAAAAATCTCATCACGGACACCCTGTGTAAAATAGTTGTTGTAATTTTGATCTATGTCTGTTAACCAATCCCAATTCTAATACGTAAAGTAAGTGTATACGTTGCGAATCATCCAAATAGAATGATTGACAACGTACCACTTACTTTTTTATGTTATTAAATTCATGTTAATGTTAAAAAGTGTAACCTAAAAATTTATAATAAATGTATATTTATTTAACACAAAAACATCTTTACTTCCACCTATTGTTCTTTAATAAGTAACTGTTATTCTCAGTTTCGTGAAGGTTGATCAGGTCTTCGTCGATGAGCAACTCGAAGTCGCCTAAGGCCTCTTGACTGGGGATTTTGTTCCACCGGACGTCGGGCAGCCCTGATGGAGGCACCACAATCGAGAAGATATTATCCATGAGTTTGTGTTTCAAAATCCGGTCATTTGCGGTGGTTGAAGTCAGCGATGGGGACGCATTGACCTAAAAAGAGCCCAGTTTTGGTTTTTCGCATTTTTTTTTCTTACTTCGATAAGCCATGGTTTTAGTTTGTTATCAATGATGATGTCGTAGCCGTAACATTCGAAACAGTGGCGGTCGGTGGCAATAACCGGAGCCACGGCTTTCAACGAGTGAATAATCAGCCAACTGATTTGGTCAAAAAGGCGCTCAGTCACTTGTTTTCCTCTTGTACTTTCTAGGTGGAGGCGCAAGTTTTGGACACTCAACTTGCCACCGTGTAGCGAGTTGTACTCACCCTTGAAGAAACAAAGAATGGTTTTCCGAGTAGTTGGGGTTGGGGACTTACCCCATGTTTTTGCACAGACACATTAGTCAAATGGACGTACATGTTGTCGAGCTCGGCCACACTCGAGTCGTATTTGACGGTGCAAAATCGGCAGAAACCCAACCGGAATTGGTAGGCCTTCAAGGGCCGGAAGGACGTGACCAGGACGTAGAGACGCAAGTCGAATTTTTTGCCCCCGATGAGGAGAGGGTTGTCGATGTATCTGCAAGGATAAGTGTGTTTTCCACTACTTTGTTACTCTTACTTGGATATGACGTAACTCTCTTTGGTGAGTTGTTGCTGAAAGGGGCTCTTCGCCTCGCGTGACCACCGTTTCAGCTTCGACAGTTTGTTGATGAGGAAAATGCCGGAGCCTTGGGAGCGGCCACAAGGCTTCATGATCCAGGTGCTCTGGGGCGCCTTTCGGTACTCCTCCACGAACATGTTGTAGTCGGCTGGGAGGACGAAAGTAACTGGAATGAAGTCAAGGTGGAGGTATTTGGAGTCTCCGCGCTCGGCCAAAACATTGCCTTCTTTCTCCAAGTCGCGACGGTATCTCTTTATATTTTTCACGAGCAAATCTTTGCGGGAGATTTCGTAATGGTTCGGAAAATGGTTGATTAGTCTGAAACCATTTTCAAGTATTTTTCTTTCCGCAAAGGGAGAAAATTACTGATTATCGTGCATCCGATAGCCGCTATCCACACTAAACAAGCTCCTACAAGTCTGAGTCCCCGCCCAGTAAATATTCCAGTCATCTTCGGGGCCCACTTGTATCCACCCGCGTTTTTCACAATTTGCCACAACGACACTTTTGTCAAGATCGGTGCAAAAAGTTATCCGCATTGTCACTGGAATTTAATAAACGGATGACGGTTTTTCGATGTCTTTATTGATCAAACTTATTTCTATGGCAATCTATATATTTACAAAAAAAATTACTACTAAATGCTAAACCAGCCCGGCATGTTGGGCCGCTCTTTGTTCTTCTCGAGGTACTCTTTGAAACCTTTCTTGGCTTCCTGAATTGTCGCCTCTTCTTCATCTTTCGCCTTTTTGTCCTCAGGGAAGAGATCGGGAAAGATGAATTTCTCCTCTTTTGGCTTGAAGTGAGAAAACGAAGTGTTAGATAGTTAATTTTTTCTTTAATTTTTACTGTAGAAAGAGTTTTTAAGCAATGCAATTTTGTCTTAATTTGATGAGTACAGATTTTACAACAAACTCTATGACACAGATCCAGGCTTTATAGACAAAATATCATAAAAAAAACAAGCAAAGCTGCTTTACCATTAAACTTTTTGACTAATTCGAAGTATAAACGCTTTTGGGTATTTAATACAAAATCGATCATTTTCTATTTAAATTTAGTTCCTTTTGAATAATCGACGATAAACTCACTAAAATCAACAGATTTTGTAGAAACAAGACAGAAAATCGTTTTAGGTCCAAATAACGCCATTTCAGCACTTCTAAGCAGTTTAGCTTGTTTTTCAAAACAATTCTTGAAAAATCATTAGAATTTGCCGCATGAAGTCTGAAAATCTTCGTTTTACGTTCGCAATTTCATCCAATTTCGAGCGTTTTAGCACGGTTTTGAGGGAGAAATGAAATTCACTAAAATTCACTGATTTTGGTGCAACAAATCATTATTTCAAGCAATTTAACTCGTTTTTTGAGCGAGAAACTTGCTGAAATCAACGGACTTTGACGCAACAATAAGTACGAAATTATTTCACACAATTTCGAGCATTTTAGCACGTTTTTGAGCAAGAAACTCGCTATAAAATTAACAGATTTTGACGAGAATCGTCATTGTTGGTTCAAATAACGCCATTTCGTGCAGTTGGCTGAAAAAGGCTATAAATACTCGTTTTACATCCGCAATTTCAGATAATTTTGAGCGTTTTAGCTCGTTTTTGGGCCTGAAATTCACTAAAATAAAATTAACTGATTTTGTTTTTGGTCAAAACAACGCCATTTCAGCAGCATTCCAAGCAGTTTAACTTGTTTTTCAGCAAAGACTCGTCAAAAATTATCAGATTTTGCCGAAAGAAAGCTGAAAATTGTCCTTTTACATCCGCAATTTCAATCAATTTCGAGCGATTTAGCACATTTTTAAGTGAGAAACTTAATAAAATTAACAGACTTTATCGAAACAGGTCAGAAAATCGTTGTTTTCGGTCAAAATAAGGCAATTTCAGTCAATCGAAAGCAATTTATCTTTTTTTTTAACAAGAAACACGCTAAAACAACAGATTTTGACGCGAAAAGTAAAAAAAAATCCTCAGTATAACGCGATTTCAATGAATTCCAAGCGATTGAGTTTTTTTTTAACGAGAAATGCGTTAAAGCCATCAGATTTTGCGAAAACAATACAGAAAAGCGTTGTTTTAGGTCAAAATGGTCCATTTTAGGAAATTCAGAGCAATAGAGCACGTTTTTCAGCGAATACTCATGTAAAATCATCAGATTTTGCCGATAGCAAGCTGAAAATCTTCGCATTTTCAGTCAATAGTGAGCGTTTAGCACGTTTTTGAGGGAGGAATTTACTAAAATTAACAGATTTTGCCACAACAAAACAGAAAATCGTTGCTTTATAACACAAAATAACACAATTTCAGTTAATTTCGAGTAATTTAACTGGTTTTTTTTTGGGAAAGAAATTCACTAAAATCAACAGATTTTTTTTGAACGAGAAATGCGTTACAACCACCAGATTTTGTAAAAACAAGCCTAAAAATTGTTTTCTTAGGTCAAAATGACACCATTTCAGCTAATTCTGAGTTGGTTAGCTCATTTTTCAGCGATCACTCAAAAAATTTTACGTCCGCTAAATTAGCTTTTTGCAAGTTTTTTTCAGCGAGAAATCGAGAGATTTCACCATGACAAGTCCTCAACTGTGTGGACAAAACCTGAAAAATCTATGACATTATGTGGAATTGAATTTCAATTACTCGCAACTTGCGTAATAATGGAAAATGCCGAACGACCTTGAATATTTTATCGCAATAATTCGTGACCTTCATGACTCGTCTCCTAACCCTAACGATCTGTCATTTAACAAAAATGGGTCACACGTTGAAGCTGAATAACGGTCGCGAAATTCCCATTGTAGGCTTAGGAACATACAAGGTAGGCAAGTATTAAGCAATGGGAAAAATAATTGATTATTAGTCGCCCCCAGGTCAAGTCCAGGAGGCTGTCAAAGCTGCGATTTCGTGTGGCTATCGCCACATCGATTGTGCTTGGTTCTACGAAAACGAGGCCGAAGTAGGTCAAGGGATCCACGCAAAAATCGCCGATGGGACAATCAATCGCGAGGATATTTTCATCACGAGCAAAGTAAAAACGTCGACTAAAAAAATGTCGAACCCCCTGATTTAATTTGGGCGTTTTTCTAGTTATGGAACAATTTCCACGCGAAAAACAGTGTAGTCCCCATGTTGCGAGACTCCCTTAAAAAACTTGGCCTCGATTACGTCGATTTGTACCTAATTCACTGGCCCATGGGGTTTAAGGAGACGGCGCCGCCGCTCCCCCCGGACGCCTCCGGGTACAGCGACGTCGATTATCTCGAAACCTGGCAAGGCATGGAAGAATGCGTCAAACTTGGTTTAGCCAAAAGCATTGGTTTATCAAACTTCAATAGTGAACAAATTGAGCGAGTTCTACAAAAATGTACAATCAAACCCGTGGTTAACCAAGTCGAGGTCAACCCAAACATCAACCAGAAAAAACTGATCAAGTTTTGCAAAGACCGCGATATTGTTGTTGTCGGTTTCTGCCCTCTGGGGCGCAGCAATTACGTCGGATTGCGTCCCAACTTCCCCTCACCCACGATCCACGACCCCAAGGTCATAGAAATGGGGAAAAAATACAACAAAACACCCGCACAAGTCGTTTTGAACTATTTAGTTTCTTTGGGGATTTCAGTCATTCCGAAATCGGTCACCCCGTCGCGAATTGAGGAAAATATCAACATTTTTGACTTCCAGCTACATAAGGACGACATCGCGTATTTGGACTCGTGTAACAAAAATCAACGATGTAGCCCCCAGAGTAATCACGCCGACCACAAATATTTCCCATTCAATATAGAATTTTAACCAAGACTTTGTTTATTATTTTACTTACCAGTGTGATGTACGCGTACTTGATGTCCTCATCTTTCACCACGTACCCCTTTCCGGGGACACGTCTCGTCTTCCCTAGAGCGATCCTCGTCCTCACATCCACCACATTTATATTATAAATTTTTTCTAAATAATTTTTTATGTCGTATTTGGTCATTTGCATCGAACATGAGAATTGGACAATGTTAGGGGGCTGCTCGTGCGTGGGTCTCACTAATTTCAGCCAAAAGTTCGGCAAAAAGACGCGCAATTGGGGGCCCCCTCTTTGGTAAATCGGGTACCTAAAAAACGCTTGAACTAGTACTAACAATTTTCTCGAAAATTACCATCTCGTAGACATCCTTCTTATTTAAAATATTTTTTTAATGTAAAAAATACAAACTTTGAGGTTGGTTTCACCAAGCGTTACCAACATCACCAACACACTAGACACTAGTGTCAGTGCTAGTGTGTTAGTGGCATGATAAATTTTTGTTTAGGGTTTTTTACTCGCTTGAAATTTGTTTGAATTTCTAACCAAACTTTTTGTTATAAAATCAACACAAATAATTACGAAAATGGAGGAAGCCAGTTTAATGTCAACCGACGCAAGTGAAACGGAGGACGGCCCCCAACGCCTTTCCAAACTTGAGGTCAGTAAAAGCCCCCTCTAATGACTCTATTCCAACCCCTATTCTAGGGCAACGGGATCACCGCTGCTGACTTAAAAAAGCTCAAAGATGCCGGTTTTCACAGTATCGAGTCCTTAGCATACACCCCGAAGAAGACTCTCGTGGCCATCAAAGGCATGTCCGAGGCCAAGATCGACAAACTCCTCGCCGAAGTAGCGAAATTCGTCAACATGGGTTTCACCACAGCCACCGATATTTTAAAAAGACGCTCCGATATTGTCCAACTGACCACCGGGTCAAAGGAACTCGACAAGTTGCTAGGGGGCGGCATTGAGACCGGTTCAATMACGGAAATTTTCGGCGAATTCCGAACCGGCAAAAGCCAGATWTGCCACACTTTGGCTGTGACTTGTCAATTGCCCGTTGACTGTGGGGGTGGTGAAGGAAAGTGTCTTTTTATTGACACCGAGGGCACTTTCCGGCCTGAACGATTGGTGCCGGTGGCGGAGAGGTACAAAATGGACACACAAAAAGTTTTGGATAATGTCTCATTTGCAAGAGCGCAAAATACTGACCACCAAACTGAGCTTTTGATACATGCGGCTGCGATGATGATGGAGTCAACGTACTCTCTGCTGGTGGTTGATAGCGCCACATCTTTGTACAGAACGGATTATTCGGGAAGAGGGGAATTGTCCGCAAGGCAGAATCATCTAGCTAGGTTTTTGAGGATGTTGCTGCGACTTGCTGATGAGGTAATTATCACTCTTGACGAACACCAGTTGTACCACTTTTATGAAATTGCAGCTTTTTAATATTTTCAATTATGACTGAGATTATTACAATTGCCTGTTGTTGTTAAAAATTAAAAATAAGAAATCCTTTTTGTCTTTGGCTGAGCTGCTTTTTACAATAACAATTTTATTCTGTTTCAAATCTATGACATTGTTACTTTTTATAGTAGTATATAAAGTGTCAGTTCTACCGCAAACTCAGAAAAGTATAATTGTTTAAGGAAAACATCTAGATTTTCAAGGTAACTCAAAAAGTAAATATTTTGAGAAAAACAACCTCAATTTTCAAGGTAACTCAGTAATATTGTATGCAGATGTTTTTGCGCTACTTCTGGAAGTAATTTTGTAAGTAAGTTTTCGTAGCAATTCAATATGCCCATCGTTTGTTATAACAAATTCTTCACCGTTTCCACTCGTTATTTCTTCAATAAACCCCATGAATTCAAGCAAAATAAAATGTCAGTGCTACCGCAAACTCAGAAAAGTATAATTAACTCAAAAAGTAAATATTTTGAGCAAAACAGCCAAATTTCCAAGGGTAGACAGAAAAAATCGTGAAAACAACCACAATTTTCAAGGTAACTCAATAAATGTTAACTTTTCAAGCAAAACACCCCGATTTTCCAGGGTAAACAAAAAAGCAAATATTTCAAACTAGTTAAACAGCAACAATTAATTAGACGAATTTTAAGAAGTTATGCAGATGTTTTTGCGCTACTTCTGGAGGTAATTTTGTAAGTAAAATAACAGTAATTTTTCGTAGCAATTCAATATGCTCATCGTTAGTTATAACAAATTTAAATTCTTCACCATTTATTTTACAGCAAAGAGTAGATATTCTCTTTCAAATTTATAGTTATGTTACCTTCCATTTATATGAAAAATTATTTTATCCTTCGATAACGAGTGGCAAAATTTGCCACTCGTTATTTCTTCAACAAACCCCATAAATTTTCTATTTTATAAACTATCGTACGAATTCTGATTTCCTTGTACCACAAACCGCGCATTTTGACTTTAATCGTTTTCTATTATTTTTTGTTGTTACAACTTGTGGATTAACATTTTTAGTTTTTTTTCTTGCATATAGAACAATAGCTATTACCCATTTAATAATAAAAAAACTCAGATTGATTCAGTAATAGTGTTATTAACAATATCATAAAGTAATTCGGAATAAGAAATCATACAAATGTAGCAGATTGTGTTATTCGGAAGTGCCTTATCAAAATCTCCATATAAAATAATATTACTTCTAGATCCTGTATTTTGTGGTTGATTTGTAAGATCAACTGGGAAAAAAGGTCTTGCGCTTTTAAACTGCTTAGGATTCACATACATCAGAGGTAATTCATTAAATGATTTACCAAATACTTTTTTATAATTAGTTAACATGTCGTAAGCAATATTATACATATTTCTATCCCAATCTAAATTTAACATTTCTTCTGGATATCTAATTCCATCGACTTCAAACCAAAGATTTTTATGATTGCAATGATTAAATAACCCAATATCCAGCAGCAATATTATATTCTACGGTTGTTTTACCGGATCCTGATTTACCAATAATTAAAGCCCTTAACGGTTGAGGAAGTATGTCTGATTGATTATCAATTTTTATTTCTAATGGAATTATTTTATATTTTTTCTTTTTTATTTTATTAGCAATTGTTTTCTTCATTTATTTAAAATTTAATCTTAGCGGACGCTTTGGTCCATTATACAGGAAACTTGACTAACATATAAAAAAAATTGGAATAGTTAATAGATAAGGTCTGTTAGGATTAAAACCGTAGATATTTTCACCTGTACTCGTATTTACCTTTTCTTTTTTTATTCTTAAAATTAGAACATCAGATTCTCTAACAATAAAAGGTTTTGAAAGATCTATTGTTCCTTTATTAGTACTAATATTCAAATCTTTCAAATTAGCCGTTGAGCAGTATTTTATAACTTCCACATCCATTGGTAATCTAAGAAATCGTTCGCCATCAAAAGAAAACTCAAGCTCATTAACACTCTTTTGTCCATGAACTTCCTTAATAAAAATATTTTTTCCTACAAATTGTAAAATAGAATAATTATTTTTCATATCATTATTTAATTTAGTTACATCAGATTGTCTGGCTAACTCGTTTGTTAAATGATCTAATTCCTTTATTATTTCTTGTGAATTTTTAGGTATTTTATTAATTGTTTCGTTTAACTCATCCAGTTGTGCTTTTGTTACTAAATCAGATTTATCAACCCCATTTTTTGCCCCAACAATTCTTTTATTTTTTGCAGAAATATGATTAAATTTAATATTAAATGCATTTATCAAGCTTTTAGCGTTAGCTAAGGATGATTCCAAGTCTGACTTCAGTCTGGCTACACTAGATTTTAATTCAGTAATATCAGCATTCAAAGCACTATTATTTATTTGAAAGAATGGGAAACCATAAATATACTCGTTTTCATATTAATGTGCATCGAAGTAGTCGTTGAAAAGGGATCATATTAAGGTGGCAACCTTGCGAAAATTCAAACAATCCTAAACTCAATCTTCCCTAAAAATTATTTTTTCAAATAAATGTGTACCCCATATAGCAATAAATAGTTAAACTTAACAATGTAATCAACATAGGATAGCAAACATAAAGATTTTTGACAATATTGATGTGATTAAATTTGTTTTCAATAACATTAATGACACTTTTTGTGTAAATCGGACTTTAAATTAAAGATTCATTTAGACTTCCACAACCTACTTGATGCACATTAATATTTAATCTATTCGAAATATCATCAAATTCATAATACATTTTATCTTTAAAGAAATATAAATTTCTGTATCAATGTCTCAATGCTCTGCTTATATTTGGAGGTATTCCAGCAAATAATTCTGAAATGAGGCCATTTTTCTTTGATCTAAACAAACACTCATCAAACTCAATGTATAAGACTTTATCATAAAATATATATGTTTTTCCAGAATAAATTCTAAATATTGCATCAATTCTTTTTCCTCTTGGTATCCCTAAATTTTCAATAGATTGACCATTATATCCACTTTTAACACTAAAATTTGGAAAATCAATTAAATAGAATAAATTATTAACAACAATTAAAACAACACCTGAAGGACTTTGATAAATATGTGAAATTTCTTTAAAATCATCTGGCATAAAATATAAATAATCTGTAATTAATTTCGGTTCTTTATCATAAGTCATGTCTTTTAAATTGACTAACCAAACATATTTCTTATAAAAAATATACATATGATGATTTGCAATTAAAAATGTATCAATTTCTTTATTAAAATCACATAAATTGGCTTTGCCTTTAGGCTGCCCTTCAGGGACTCTTTGCCAGACTTTGCTTACAGTAGGTTTAACTGTTGTTGGTATTAATTCATATTTAATTCATATTTTAATCGTTCAGGTCTTCCATATAAATATTGAATTGCCCACATATCGTCTTGAGTTAATTTATCAATATCACCTTTATAATAGGCGTATATAATTGAATTATTATTGGCAGAATGTTCAATACTTAACGTATGTCCGATTTCGTGTAATAATACTGTATAAAAATTAGTTTGACCATCAGGTGTATTACTCGATTCACCAAAATACCAGTTTTCTGATTTATCAAAATTAATTCCTAGACATTCATCATTATTTGGAAAGAAACCATGTGCTAAAACATTACCTTTTCCATCAAAACTGCTAGAACATACTCCTTTTTGACACCGCGTATTATGATTATGCTGAAACAGTGTATTAGAAGATGAAATAAGTATGTCCGGTTTAACACTATTGGACTGGCTGTGCCAGTACTCAAACTTTAAATTTGAAACCCATTGCCATTGATCAAAGGCTTTTTGTACTAATTCTTTCATCTCGTTTGTAGCTAACGAAAAATACCATTTGAGACTTGACTTATTCCATTTACTTGTGTGAATTCTATATGCTACTGGATTATCTTCCACATCTCGGCTGTTTAATCAAATCAAGTGTTTCCAGATTTAATGTTCTATCAACAGGTAAATTGTA